TTCATCATCAGAAGAGTCCTCAGAGAGGAAGACTGTATAGTGTCGCATAGGCTTTACAAGGCTGAGGGAAACAGGAAGAGAAAAGGAAGTTATCAAGTTGTCACATTCAAAGCTCCAGAGAAGAGAGAAACCCAGTGACTCGTAGGCTCTGAATAATTTCTGAACGTGACTGACTGCCACTGCAAAGAGCTCTGCAGGTAAATGTCGAGCTCTACTTTTCAGGCAGAAAATACAGCTCTTCTGAAAACGTCTAGGGTGCCGTCTAGTCGGGAAGGATGCTAAGACCTGCAATCACACCCATATCGCAGAAGCAGCCAATACAGAACCCCACCTTTTCCCCGCTACATTTTCTAGAGAGTGGGGCATCATTTTGTTCTTTAGAAATACATCTCTGCTCCTCACATTCTCTGAGCTCTGACCACAAGCAAACAAATATTAGACCTACCGCTCTGCTTTATAGGTATTTAGACTTACATGAGTCTGACATATGAGAGGAGCTGACTTGAGGGTAACAATCCCTACGTGTACCTATTTCTGAGATCTGAAATTGCTTCACGCTAGAATAAAAACAAAACTGTTCACAGATTTATATGAAATGCGGTTTGTCAAGTAAGGTGCCTATGTTTCCTTCCTCAGTGGCTAACTGCTTTCGAAGTCTGGCAGAAAAGGGACTCGAGCTAATTTCTCCTGCATCACAGGACAGTAACTATCAATCTGTGAATTCGTTAGCAGCGGCCTGGAACAAAAATCCTCTCAGATAAAAACTTCTTGAAATCAGAAGTGCCTCTGGAAACACCCCTTAGCTGTAATTAAAAAAATCCCAAACCAACGAAAAACCAAAAAAACCCAACCACCGCCAAAAACATTTCACCAGACTTTTGACAAGAACATATTAGTCACCTTTATTTTATACACAGAGGTCAGATCTCCAGGATTTGCTCCTGTGCCTAATGAAGACAATGCCTAAATCTTTAGTGAATGTAAAACTAACTGTGCATGCCTATATAGGTCTGGGTAAACATACGCTTGGGGGATAAGAGAAAAACTATTTAAAGCTTGCTGAATTTATGAATTTTTTTTCTGTTATTTATTGTAGCTATCAGTTGCTTCACTTCATTTTAACCAGGAACCCAGTAAATTACTCTTTTCTGCATAAAGTAGAAGCTTCTAAGATTCACTGTTTCCACTGGAGCAAATTCTGAAGTGGCTATCACTGCTTTAAACAATTAAATGCACTGTCAGCTTTGGTAGAAAAAGAAGGAGTAGAGGAGCAGGGTCCTTAAGCAGAAATACACTGGAACGAAGAGGTTGAGGAGTATGAAGAAATTAGTAGCAAATATTGCCTCATCTGTAATGCTAAAATATCCTAATCTTTAGTAAAGTATGAAGCAACGGCCACTGTTCATTCCCCTCTGAAACACTGAAGCTCTGGATGGCAAAAAGGCTTATAGAAAATATATTCTCACAAATTAAATATTAAGACAAATGCTTCACAAGTAACAAAGCAGTAAAAGCACATCAAGATTTATCAGTACTAATCAGAGGCCTCCACACCAAAGCCCAGTGCTTTTCAATCTACTAAAACTCAAGGACAACATTGTGTAGAGCCACCAAAACTATGTGCACTTACAACACCACATATACCCAATTTTTAACAGTTATTTATTTTTTCTTATTTATTCTCCCCATTTCAGTTGTGTTCTGGCGTATCTAAGTGTGCATGAGTGGAAATGAAAAAAACCCCAAGAAAACCTCGTTTCAAGGGCATTACAAACCACCTTTTATCTCTTACGGACCAAACGAGGCTGCTGAACACCGATAGATGTTGCCAGAGAGCATCGCTTACAGGCCTCTCTTCTTCCCCACGTCACTAGAACAGTGGAGAAGAAACCACTAGGATCATAAAAGCAAACATTGTCTCTAGCCATCCGAATGAGGCCTCTTCCCAAACACCTTCATTTCTTCAGCCACACATCACTGATGATACCCTAGTTATTGCAGTGAATCGGAACATGCAGCATGAACGACGCAATTGAGATGGGAGCCTGATTTTGCTACTGCTGAGGTCCAGAATAAAATTTGTTATTTCAGTGGCAGCAGCATCAGGCTCATCAGGCGGAACAAAGGACAGGTCCCAATCCCATAGACATGGTAGAGCAACGCAAATGTATCACACCGCTATCTACGTTATAGATAAGGACCAAAAGCATGGACAGAAAGAATTTGATTAGTTGCCTTCATAGTGCAGACATACTAACAAACTACCTCTAGTGGCACTTGAACTGATAATCGGCCTTCACTCTTTCAGGTCTTCCGTCTCAATCACTAAATAACTATATAATAAAGTTATGAAAATCAGTCTAAAAGGTTAGGTCAGAAAAAGAGAAGTTGGACACTGCAACCGCCAGCTCCAGAG